CGTGTTTGATGTTTCTTTGTCTTGGGGAAAGGTCAGCGTGGCTCCTTGCTCGAGCCAGTGCCGTGTGAGCAAATGCCGTAATGCAACGGCTGCCGGTCTTGGTTTGTCATCCGCAAAGGTGGGGACGGCCAAACCAGCCTTGGCCAAGGCAGGGTTTTGTTTGAGCTGCTGAAGGGGCTGGAGTTCCCTGCCGGGCGGTGAGCCAGGATGGAGCCGAGACGGCGCTGAGACATCTCAGGCTGAGACCTGGCTCCTCGTGGGCCACGCAAGCAGCTATGGGGGTTGAAGAAAACCAGACAGCTGAGCCCGAGAGAAGGGCTGCGATTCATTTCCCTTTGATATCAACCTTCCCGCGGGAGATGCCCATGTCTGAGCCACTCGCCCCTGGCTCCCTGCAGCCCTGGGAAGCTCGTGGGCTGGTGCTGCGGTGCTGGCCCTGCTCTGCACTGGGGCTTTGGGGTGCGTTTTGGCTCAGGAATGAGCTCTGTCGATAGAGACAGTGGTGGAAAAATACACCCTGAGCCCTGTTCAGTGCCACTCTCACCTCCGGCAAGCACCCCTTTGAAACTCTGCACTGTCTGGCTGTAGAAGGTATAAAACCAAATTAATAACTTCAAATTGCTTGGCTGCTGCTGGCAGCTGGGGAGCTGGGCTTGGGGGGTCTTTCTTGCAGGATATTCTCCTGTAACCACCCTTGGCATCGCTTCTCTTCCAATGAGTAAACGTGACGCTTGCCCGGGTTGATCCGGGTGCTTCGTGGGTGCGGTGGTTTGGATCAGACCGCGGGCAGGGCGCTCGTGCAGTGTCTGAATTACAGAGGAAGAGGCTGCAGAAAGGTGGCCCGACGGTCTTTCAAAAACAGGGAATAAAGCCTGTGCATACCCTAGCCGGCCTGTAAATCCACATGGACACAAGTTGTGGGATGCTGGCAGGATAAAGCATCGTCCTGACCTGCTGCGTGGAGGTACCGCTGCCTCTGGCAGGGTCTGGGGCAGTGCGAAGACCATCCCGGTCATCTTCCCAAAACCTCCCCGTGCTCAGTGGAGAAAGTGCAACGCCGATGGCCACTTCTCCATCACGTGGATTTTTTTTTTTTTTTGTATGGCTGTAAATGAAGCTTGTCGGTGCAGATTTCCCTTTGGGGTACAGCATGGATCCTCCGCGAAGGTCGGCAGCCTTGGGACGGGAGGACCTGAGGTTTTATCTGGTGTGATTTTTATTTAGGACGTTGATTTCCATTGACTGATTGAGTGATTTCTCCTTCGCATCCTGCAGCTCCCAGCTCCCTGGTGATGTGCCGGAGGACTGCCTTCGCATGGCTCCTCTGTAATTACCTCCTTTTCCCCTAATTTACCGTTATACCTTACAAACCGCGTTTAATTACAGCAGGATAATTACAGGTGATCTCCTAGCGCATCATTTCAAAATGCTCAGCCCCCTCAGCCAGACACAGCCAGCGGTTTCCGTCCTCGGTGCCAGCAAGCTGTGCCAAAATGGGTATTTCTGTGCCCGCTGCGTGCGGGCTGCCTGCGGAGAGGGACCTTCAGAGCAGATAATGAGCTTTGCCGGGCCGGGAAGGTCACGGCTGCTATCTCATTACTTACCCTTGTGGTTTCATCCTCTTGTTGCAATGCATCAGTGTAATAAAAGAAGCCAGCGTGCCAGCTCGGGGTGTGGGTTAGTTTTAACTGGCAGGAGGCTTGAGCTTGAAGCTGGGTATGAAGGCATCGGGGCAGGGTCTGCCCGTGGGCTTTGTGGCTGTGGGTGGCTGCCAACAGGACTTTCTGGGGTGGGGAGAGGAGCTGAGTTGTTTCCAGAGAGTGAGGTGAAAACGCGGTGTGAAGGGCTCTGAAAATCTGTGGTCTGGTCTCGCATCTCCCCGTGCCCGTCCACCCAGCCCCGCGGGGTCTGTGGCTCACGTGAGGAGGAGGTGGGTGGTCCCCATGGGGCTGGGGGGGTGTAGGATGAGAGCACAGCTAGGAATTTGGGGGGACAGAATCCTGACACCTCCCTGCCTGCAATCAGAGAAAGGGCAAAGCGGGGGGACCTGCTGCGTTGCTCCAAGCTCGCAGGAGCCACGTTGCTCATCGTGGCACTGAGGATGTGCAAAGGGCTCTGCCCCTCTCCTTTCCCGGGGAGATTTCCACCCGCTCTCCTGGCTAATGATACAGCCTTAATGCTATTGCAGTGTGGTGCTCCCAGGGCAACATCTATTGAGCTCAGGCAGGTAGGCATCTCCATCGGTGTGACAGCACCACGGAGTTGCTTCCTAGAGTCGCTGATGGCCACAACTGGAAACAGAGGGGCAGAGAAGCTGGCGCCGTAGGAGAAACCCGCGTTCAGAGCTTGCAAACACTTTCCGGCTGAATTATTTCTGCCTAGCAAAACCACATGTGACTGTGTCTCATTAGAGAGCCTTAATGGCGCTGAAGACTGATGTATGTTGGAGCTCACCCGTGTGACACTCACGTATACCCGTCCGCACTGGAAGAAAATAGCAGGTTTGCAAGAGCATGGTCTGTGGGTTTAAATTCACCCCGGCCAGCTTGATGCTGGGAGCGATCCCGCAGAAACCTGCCTGTGGACTGAGCGCTGCGCAGTGAGAGCAGGCGGGAGCAATCGGGGATGGAGATAACACGAACGTAGGGTCAGGTCCTTCCATGCTGCAGATGTTAGGAAGCAGGAGAGAGCAGAGGTGAATACAAAGCAAAACATCTTTTTAAATATGATGGGTTACACTGATTTTTGTTTTTCCAAAGGACAGGCGCAAACTCGTGCTCGTCCTTCGTTTATCTGATCTGAGTTTGGTTCCTGCCTCTTCCCGAGACCGGGGGGCTCCTCGAGGTGAGGCTGGGGATGGCTGTGAGCTCCCAGGGGACGTGGTGGTGTTCAGGATGTCACTGGAATCACACACGCCCACCTCCTGCATTTTTCTTTATTATCCTGGGATATTCGTTCCCTTTGCTTCATGCTTCTTCACCTAAAATATGAAAACTTGATGCTTTGTGTCACTTTCCTGGTGATTCATTTCTGATGTTATTGAAGGAAAAACTTCTTTCCCTGGATGAGACTCAAATCCTGCTCCTATCCAAAGGAGAGGTTTGATGAAGAACTGCTGAATTGGAGCTTTTCTTGGACAAATCCTCGTAAAATCAGGCCGGGTCATGGAAGCTGAAGCCCTGAACCTGTTGCTTGACCAGGAGATACCACGATATTCAGGTGCCACCTGCAGCCCAAATTTAGAGTAACCTGCCAAGAACTGAATGAATCACATGTGAAATCCAAGTAGATGGAAACAAAAAAACGAGTCCTGGGGATGATTAGAAGTCTGTTAGATGTTCAAAACTCCCTGCTTCTAGTAATTTTGAATAGTTTTGAGTTTTTCAGGCCAGCGTTTATCTAAAGAGGACCTCCCTTGGTGTGGTGATGAGCTGGAGCTAGCTGAAGCACAAGCACAGTTAATTTGCCTGCAAGTTGCCAGCCTGCCTCCAAACTCCTGTAGAATGTCCACAAAAATCATATTTTCCTACTTTTAAACGTAGGAAGAAGTTTAGCACGTCCCAACTTGCAGAGATTTAGGAGGGAGGAGAAGGTGCAGCCCTGCCTCTGCGCTCAGCTTCACGTGGGGTTGATTGCAAAGGAAGCAGCGAAGCCGAAGGGACTCAGTGTTTCAGTCTAATATAAAGAATAACCTAAGAATAGAGCTCTGAGAGCTGGCTGTCTCTCTCGTCAGACAACAGAAAGGCAGCTTGCGGGAGCTCGCAGTGTCCCGTCCCCGAGTGGACGTCCTGCGCCCAGAAATCTCCCGCTGGGTGTCCGGCGTGCCCACGGATGGGCGATGCTTGCAATCGCGTCGATGCTGAGGGGGGCTCGGGGGGCTGCGGCGGCGGTTAATACCACTGAGGGGTTCTATCAGCCTAGGTCGCGGTGTCCCTGCTGTCGCCTGCCTGGTGGCACAGGACAGGGCCACTGTGCATCCTGCAAGGCATCGCTTGGTGCATCCCGTGAGCCCTCCTTCCCTTGTGCCCAGCGTGTCTGTGTGTGTCCCCGCGGCTGACGGGTCCTGTTCCCCGGAAAGGGGCCCATCGTGGAGAGGAGAGGGCTTTTGGCCATGGTGAACGTGTTGTGGGGGCCAGGCCAGGCCCTTTGCTGTCTGCTGGGCTGTGCGGTTCCGGGGAGGAGCTGGGCATCCTCCCTCTCTGCCTCCTTGGAGCAAAGGGCTTTCTGGCTCCCAGCTTCCATGGGGATGGCTCCCATCATCCTGTCCAGCTTCTCCCTGCCTGCAGGATCGGGGATGGAGGTGGCTGCTGGGGATCTCAGGGCATCCTTAGAATCACAGAATCACAGAATCATGAAGGTTGGAAAAGACCTCTAGGATCATCGAGTCCAACCGTCGACCCGACAGCACCATGTCCACTAAACCATGTCCCTAAGCGCCTCATCTTTTAAATACCTCCAGGGATGGTGACTCCACCACTTCCCTGGGCAGCTTGTTCCAATGTTTAACCACTCTTTCAGTGAAGAAATTTTTCCTCACGTCCAATCTAAACTTCCCCTGGCAGGTTGAAGGGGCTTGAAGCCCCTTGAAGGGCTGGACTTGGCTGAGGTTTGTGTGAGCACAGCCTGGGCTCCTGGGGACCAGCAATGGGGCCGGGGACAGGAACAGGCTGCAGGGCTGGGGCACGGCGAGCCGGGCTGCTGCGGGAGATGGGACATCACGAAGGCTTTGTGGACTGAGGGCAGTTGCCTGTGTTGCAGCCATCTCCTCAAGATGATTCAGGTTTGGATGGTCAGAGTTGAATTGTCTTTAGCCCCAAGGATATGGGGGACTGTGCCAAGCTCCGAGATGGCATTTCGTAAAACCAGGGTCCTGGGAGAGGAGGAGGGGGAGTGGTGAGGAGTCAGCTCTGGAGTTGCCATGTGCCAGCGCTGGCTCCATGATGAGCTCCCGGGCTGCGAGGGCTGTGCCGGGTGCTGACATGTCCCTTCCTTCCTTTCAGGCTTGCCACGATTTCCTGGACTTAGCCGAAACCCACAGCCGAAAATGGCAGCGGGTGCTGCAGTATGAGCGGGAGCAGAGGATCCGGCTGGAGGAGACCATCGAGCAGTTAGCCAAGCAGCACAACAGCTTGGAGCGAGCCTGCCGCGGAGCCCCTGGCCTGGCCTCCAGCAGCACCGGCATCAAAAAAAAAGCCAGCAGGCCGGGCCGCAGGGCTGGGGCTGGGTGTCGTTCCGGGGGCAGAGCCCTGCAGGAAGCCCCAGGATGGATGGGGGCTTTCTGTTCGGTTGTTCCTAGCAAGTCGGCAGGGATGGGAGGGATGCACAAGGCAATGCCCTATATGCCCGTGATTTTTTTTTTTTAATGGATCCCATTATGCCATAATTGTCCCTAATTGTCCTGCTGCTCCTTGCTTGGGGTCTTGCATGTCCCCAAGGTACGGATGCAGGAGAGGGCTGTGTCCCCAGCTTGCTCGTGCTGTTTCAGAATATTTCAATAGCTTTAACCCTCACCGTCGGGCACATCTCTGGCTGCTGCAGGGCAGCCACGGTGCTCGGAGGAAGCCCAGGGTCCCCTGGCGCTGCCGAGTTCCCGGCTGCGCAGGGTGGTGGTGGCACAGCCAGGGCTCATTTGCTGGTCGCAAGAGTTACTGGGCAATAAAATCTTAACAGCTTTGCATATTCATGCCAAATCTCCTTCCCTGTGGGAGGCATTAGTTACAGCCTGGTAGCCAAAAACTGCAAATAATGCCTTGTCTTATTTTTAAAGGATATATAGACTCAAGGGAGAGAACAGTGGCTGTTGCGGGGGGTGACGGCAGTGCCAGGCACTGCCCTCGTTTTTGTATGGCCTCAAGGAAATGGCCTCAGGTTGTGCCAGGGGAGGTTTAGATTGGATATTAGGAAAAATTTCTTCACCGAAAGGGCTGTCAAGCATTGGAACAGGCTGCCCAGGGAAGTGGTGGAGTCACCGTCCCTGGAGGTATTTAGGGACACGGTTTAGTGGCGCTTAGGGACATGGTTTAGTGGTGGACTTGGCAGTGCTAGGTTTACAGTTGGACTCGATGATCTTAAGGATCTTTTCCAACCTCAATGATTCTGTGATTCTGTGGCGCAGCTGGGGAGGGCAGGGGGGAAATTGCTGCAGGGACAGGCACAAATCCATTCCGGTCCCATCACAAGGGGTGACCCTGCTCCTTTAGAGGAGCGTGGGAACGATGTGGGGAAGGAGGTTGCCAAACCCTGCCAGGAAGCCGAGCCAACTGCTGAGTTGGACGGGCCGCTGCGGCAAGATGGCTGGAGCCGGGGTGGCTGTTCTGGTCCTTCCACGTGGCCTCAGCAGCGCTGTGTTGGACACCTGCGGCATCCCCCTTGCTGGAGCAGCAGTACCACCCAGAGGCCCCGAGAGAGGTGGTCAGCTCTGCCGTGTGCCCTGCACCGTCGTGGCTGCTCGACTGCTCGGCGCGGCTGCTGGAGCGGTGGTTTTGTGGCAGAGTGGTGAAGCCTGCGGTGAGGCTGCGCTCGGGGAGCAGCGTGGCAAGGGCAGGAGCAGGGAAGCTGCACCAGGTCTCAAAAGTCACCGCAATTTATCTCTGCTCCTGGCTTTGTAGTGATCTCTCCCACTGCAGCAGGGAAGAGAAGTGTTTATAAGCATGGGGCTGGAAAACCCAACAGCCGGGAAGTCTCTCTGAGCATCACCTGAAACACGTGACTTTTTTTCCCCCGTTTTAATCCAAACCAGATTTCCTGGCAGATGGGGCGGTGCTGGAGTGGCAGCCGTGTTAGACGTGGTTGGGTGTGCAAGTCACGCGTGTGTGGCTGGCTCAGGCAGCCTGGTGGTATTTTTGGAGGTGCTCCCAAGCACGGCAGGGAAGCCTTGTGTGCCTGGATTGGGGAGCAGGACATGCACTGCCAGGGCACATCCTTGCTTTTAGGAGCTGGAAAATCGGTATGGCATCCTCTTGTCATGGAGTGGGATGGAGAGGAGTGGGACAAGCTGTAAAGAGAGCTGGCGCTGGAGGGGACACGGCAGGAGGAGGGTGGGCTCTGGGGACAGACTCGTGCTTGATGGGTTCAAAAGGGGACAGGGGGACCGGCAGCACCCGAGCATCTCAAACCCTTTGTGCCAACAGGGAGCGTGCAGTCTGCCAAAGGAGAGGCCAGTGATGAAGATGAAGAGACGGAGTATTTTGATGCCATGGAGGATGCACCAGCTTTTATCACTGTAACCGCAGACCCCAAGCACCACAGGTACGAGCCCCCACCCCAGGGCCACGCGTTGCATGGTGCAATCTGGTGAAACCTGCTGTGAGTGTGGGAAGACCAGGGGAGAGACAGTTTGCCCGGTGTTGTGCTTGGGCTTGAGGGCAGTATCCTTTCCCGCGGAGGGTTATTCTGTGTGCATGTCCCCCAGCAAACGGGCTGCCTCTGCCCAGGGCTCTGTACTGTGCCCGTCTGCTCTTACATTCCTGGAGCGAGCGAGGCTGAGGATGGCCCCAGCTATAGCGAAGCAGGCGAGGAAGGGCAGGCGTCAAGCCTGCGCTGCGGTAAAGCTGAGTCCTCTTTGCCAGCAGCTGATGTGGGCTCGAGGGGAGCCTGGACAGGGACTTGGAGGGAGATCCCTTGGAGCACTGGGCAGAAGCAGGGAGTACTGTGCCTTCGTCTGCCTTGACCTGCTCTTGTACCTCCCTGGGTGGCTGGAGGCACCTGTGGTCTGGACCACGGTCACACCGCTGGGCTCGCTGGCAAACGCAGAGGCTCTCGGTCACCAGGCTGGGACACCCCCTCCTAACGCCTGCGCATGGCCTCCGTCACCCTGTGCCTTCCTGGCAGCGCCCTGGGGTGGTGCAGGGAGATGCTCCGGGTGATGGTGGCTGTGCTGCACCGACCCTGGCTCTTCTTTCCTCTTCTCTGCCCTTGCTCGTGTTTTGCAGTTGGTACTTTCTTCCCCGCAGGCGTTCGGGCAGTAACCTGAGTGGGGCCAGCGAGGGCCACCCTGAGGACTGGAACCTGGAGGACAGCGTGAGTTGGCTGGGCAGAGCGGGAGGGATGGTCCCGGTGGGATGAAACCAGGGGAGAGGAGTAGGAGAGGAGGAGGTTGTTGGAGACACTCTCCATCCGGGTCCTTCCTGCGCCTCCAGGATGGAGCAGAGTTGGTTGCTCTGTGAGCCACAGTGGGGGGACAGATGTCAGTGGTCTTACAGCAGTACCCCAAGCACCCTCCTAAGGGAAGCAGGAAAGTGTTGGGGGCAATTGCACTGTTATTTCCCCCACTCTCTGGAGAATAGGCTTCCAGCGATGCTCCCCAGCACAAGTGCACGCAGTGTCTCCTGAGCTGCGGTTGCTGCTCCCGGGAGCGTTTGGGTCATGCTGGGTGAGTCCAACTTAGATCTGTCTTTCTTCTGTTGCTTCCACAGGTCTTTGAAAGCTCAAATCAAAGCAGCTACAATGAGTCCACTTGCAAAGATCTCCTGCCGAAGAAAAGGAGACGGACTCGCATCCCCGACAAACCCAACTACAGCCTTAACCTCTGGAGCATCATGAAGAACTGCATCGGCAAAGAGCTCTCCAAGATCCCCATGCCTGTAAGTGAGCGTGTCCCAGGCGCTGAGGGCCGGCGGAGAGGGTGCTGCCGTGATGCTGGTGTTGAGGGTTTAGTTTGGGCATGGCTCTTGGCTGTGCAAAGGATTTGGATTACGGCTCCAGGTGGTCCTGCCAGGTGCTGTGGTAGCACAGCAGCCCCGAGCGGGGCAGGAGCGTGTCACCAGCTGCCAACCCTGTCCTGGGGGAATGGCTTCTGCACTGGCAGAGCCCTCTGAAACCACCTCACTATTCTCCCCAGCCCTGTGATGCAGCACTGATGTGTCCTTGCTGCTCAGTTCTGCTGATTCTAAGCCCTGTGTTTTTCCCTGCAATTTATTTGCCCCTTGAAATCATCCGCTTGCTGCCAGAGAGCCAGCACAGCCAGAAAGCTGAACCAGCCAGGCAGGAGGAGGCTGTCCTCAGGGGCACGGAGCTGTAGTGCTGATTGCTTTGTGGTAAATGGCTCTGACGTCGTGGCTGTTACATTAGGGACTATTTGAATTGGGTCGGCTCTTTCTTTGGGACTGATCCCTTCTCCTGTGCTGGCTGCGGAGAGCCCTGGAGTGCCCATGCCCCTGGCAGCTTGCTCGCACGAGTGCCAGGGTGAGCTGGGGCAGAGGGGACGTTGCCCAAGTGTCCTCTACGAATCCAGCCGGTGCCGAGGCAAGGAGAGAACCAGGACACCTTGAATCCTTGAGGATTCAAGTGTCTCACCCAGGGGCTAGAAGAAGAGACCTTGCTGCTGATCATGCTTTCCCCAGCGTGCATCCTGGGGACATGATGCTCAGAGAGCAGCCCCACTTGCACCGACAGCACGGCAGGGCCGCGTTTCACCCCAGGGACTCAGAGTACCTTTATTTTCCTTGCAAAGAGCAGCCTTTTAGTGAAGGAGGTGCCGTAGGGACAATTTACAGCACCTCTGGGTGCTGCTGGGTTTGTTCCTTGGGGCGAAAGGCTTCCTGTGGATGGTCAGAGGAGAGGGTTTGCTGGCAGGGGTCTGTCTGGAGGAAGCCCCCTTGCATGGGCTGCCACAGAGGGTAAGCGCATTTAATTCTTGCAGACAAATAACCCTGTGCCTCATACCCGGACAAAATGCTGCCTACACCAAAGCTCCCCCAAAACCACAGCCCTTTTTTTCAGAGCAAACCAGCCCTTTCCAGGCTGCTGGTTCTCTAGCAGGTCTTCACCAGCCCAGTGAGCGGCATGGATCGGACCGGGTGTCATCGTAAGGAATCTGTTTCCCCAAAACGACGAAGTCCTGGCAAGCTTGGGAGAGCTGTGAAACAGCTGGGGGTGACTGGGGTCTATTGTGGCACTGACCGGAGCGAAAGTAGCCCAGCAAAGTGTGATCTGTAGCCCTGGAGCTGTATTCGGGGTCCTTCCCTTGCTGGGTAAAGGGGAAGGAGCGTGTTACAGGGGCTTGGATGCTGAATTGATTAGATTTTGTCTCTTCTTAAAGCAGTGCCTGACGCTCTCTGAGTAAAAGCGATGAGTTTGTCTCTTCCTTATGCTATTTCCAGCCGAGATATACAGCCCAGTGCTGTCTGTTAGCATTTCTGCAGCAACATCTATATCAGATAAAGGCGTGATGGGTACAGAAATAAGCTCAGGACGTGAAATACCAGCAGCTGCCGGTGCCTGGCGAGAGGAAATTTATACCTTCCCTATCAATCGTTATCATTCCGGGAGCTGCTAAAGCCGAGTCCAAACCTGAGAGCAGTATGTTCTGCTTGCACAGCAGCCACCAGTGCTGACTTGGGGGATGTAATTACTCCGTCCCTCACTGGGGCCAGCGGATCTAGTTTCCCAGCACTGCTGTCTCTGTAAACTGTTCAAGAGAGCTATGGGTTGTAAAGAAGGGGCTCAGCCCTGCGTGTGCTGCTCGCTGTCAGCTCCTCTCTCTGAATGTCTGTACAGATACAGAGGCAGGGAGGGGCTTTGCACCCCGCAAGCTCAGCCGCACGCAGCGTTTCTTTGGGAGATTGACCCCAAGAACAAGCAGCCTGTGGTAAGGCATCAGGGGGCAATTTAATCTCCTTTAAACAGCCGTTTAAATTCTGTCTCTGTAGTACGTGCGCTTGGAGCGCAGGAAAAGCCAGCAGCTCTGTGAATCGAGATGGAGCTGCCGAATGAGGGCTTTCAAGCTGACGTTGCGGTAGACGGAGCGAAGGAGGAGGAGAAGGAAGCAGAGCAGCCGGCTCGGGGAGGGCTGTTTGGAAACGTGGTTAATTACAGTACAAACTGCTGGCGAGCCTGTTGTGCGCACGGAGCGATGGGAGTTTCTCCCTCCACGCGCTTCACCCGATTCTTGGCAAATTAGAAGCATTTCCGAGACTCCGTCCCCTTCCTGGGTGACGTGATGGACTGAAAACCCGCTCCTTAATTTTTCCTCTGAATGAACAAACCTGCATCACTGAAAAGGAAAAAAACAGCTTTAGGGATTTTGCGTTTCGGGTGGGTTCATCTTCCTTCCTCTGTGGAAGGGTTTTGCTTTGCCGTTGCCCGAGCGGTGCCAGTGGAGAGGATGCAGCTGCCGGCTTTGTTCTCGTGCCGCCTGCGTCTCTCCCAAGAGTTATCTCAAGCTGGCTGTGATTTGCTTTTTTCTGTGGATGCGATGCTGCCCTTTCTGCAGCTCTTTCTTTCTCGGATGCTGTAAGATCCCTGCTCCTTAAATCCCCGAGTGGAACTCTCTGGGGTTTGTTTTCTTTAGTGTGAAATATGTAACTTGGCTTACAGAAGTGGTTCTCCCATCCTTCAACCATCTGCTCCTTCTAAAATATATTTCTTTGTTCTGAACTGAAAGTAAACAGTGAATTTCACATGGTTTTGAGGCAGAAGACCTTCTGAGACAAAGTATCTCCATCTTCCTTTCAATTATTTTTATATTTCAACACTTTTCAGAACAAAAAGTATTGCTAAAATCAATCGTTTGTTTTTTTCCCAGAGGTGTTTGCAGCCTGTCCAACCTGGCAGCATCTGGCAAAATTTTCTAATTGACAAAGCAATGACTTGGGGCTGGAAATACGACCCATTAGGGCTCTCCCAGGACAGAGCTTCCCCTCCGCTCCCTGCCCCACGGGGCATTGCTGCCGCCGCTGCCTGTACCTCTCACATGCAGTTCGGGTGCTGTCGTGGAGCTGCAGTCCCAGGAGCAGGGAGACTCCGAAATGGGGCTTTTCAAGGTTTTCTGAGCAACTGGGCTGCAGCCCAGCGTGGGGATGGCTTTGCCAGGAGGTGATGGAGGGCAGCCTGGGGACCAGCACATCTCTGCCCCACATCATCGCCTCTTGCTCATGGCTGGTGGAATGCTGGCCGGGAGGCAGGAGGGAGCTGGTTTCGCTGCTGAGGCTCATTTTGGGGGTCACTGGTGCTCCGTCACCGGAGCAAGGTGGTACCTGGGAGGATATCTGGTTAGCTCGTGGGGCTGCCGGCTCGCTGCTACACCTCTTCTCAGCTGGGAACTTTGAAGCCTTCACGCTCTCGTGGTACGGTTCAGGGAGCATGGCAAAGCATGCATTTCTTGCTTTTATTTAACGTTTGGGTGATGCTGCAGAGGCAGTGTGCAGGCAGTGTGCCTTGGCACATCCAGCCCCGTGCCGTGAGCTGCCCAGCGGGGTTGCT